CAGGAACTGACGGTGGCGCGGAAGAATGGAGACATGAAAATACGCGTCCTTCAGGTCTATAGCTGCAAACCAATCCTGAGGACGAACGCATCGGAGGATGTGTTCTGCGTGAGCATTCTAAACGATAGTTTGCGAAGGCAGCGGTTCAAAACGCAGATCTAGGATTGGCCGTGACCCACCGCTCTTTAGGGGTACGATGAAGTACGGGCTATAAAACTCGCTCTCCATCTCGGCTGGAGGAACTGGCTCGATTGCACCCTTAGCCAGGAGGGCAACAATCTCCTCTCGCAAGACAGGGGCGGACAGGGGATTGACCCTAGTGAATACTTGGGAGGCCGTTTTGAGAACTGAAGCTCGTAGAGCTAACCAGGCCGGCAGAGCCCTCGCTAATGGCGTCATCGCAACAATCGCTGACGTACCCGCGGAGGGGCAGCACGGAGCGGGTGTGCTGATCCGGGGAGCGCGAGGGTCCCACAGAAGAGCTGGAGGAGAGCGATTCGCTCTGGCTTCGCATCCTGACTCCGGAAAGGGGGCTTGGGGGCTTGGAGAAGGGAGACCGTCCCCCCAGCTCCCGTGAGCCGCTGGCGCAGCATGTAGACCCTGGACGGCGCGTCCCAGACTGGCAGGGCTTGCAGCGCTCTTGAGCCACTGGCGGAGCGCACCGAACCTGCGAGCTAGAGAGCACAGTGTCTCAGACTGGCAGATTTCGGGCTGTCACATCCGGGGAAGTGGAAAAGTGCCCTTTTATTTCATGGCAGTAAAAGGTGCCGTTGGAAATGGGGCCCCGCCCTCCAGCAGGGAAAGAGCAAGTTCCCTCAACTCCAGATGACCTGAACCAGGGACGCTTCGCGGTCCGTTGCCGGACTTAGCGGCGTTCTGGGCAGGGGGGGCTGCCTGCTTCCGAGGTGCTCGACGCGGGGGTGGTGCAGCTCTCGTAGGCGGGCGCCTTTGGTGAGGAGCAGGTATGGATGGCACAGCGGGCGGAGCGGGCTTACGGACCCGCCGATAAGACATCACCCATCAGACTGCTCTCTCACCGCCTCGAATTCCTGGGTGAATTCGAGTCAACAAAGCGGACTGTCGACTTTGCGCATATCAGCCAAGTTTTAGTCAGGGGTGGCGCTCCTGGACCACTAGTGTGGACATCGTCCTCCCCAAAGCACACGCAGCGGACTTAGTAGTCCAAAAAGCTTAGTCGGCTGCGGTGCGAAGCTCATAAGCCTGGGTTGGACCCACCTTCATGCAGCTCGGCCAGCGCCTGCGCTTGGTAGCGCTGGTAGGTGGCTATCGCATGCAAGGCGGAAGCAGCCTGGTCCGCAGCTTTGTAAGCTCTAGCCCCGAGGGAGCAGAAAACTTACAGGCTTTGAAGAGGATTAACCGCCATCGCGCACTCAACCTGAGGAATAGCCACATACCCCCTGGCCGCTCCATCATCAAGTTTGGTGAGGATGGAGGGACACGCAGCACAAGCAGAAAAAAGTGTCCTTCAAGTCCGCGTGAGCCTACTGTGCACCTCCAGGAAGAAGGGAACGCCCCTCTAGTTGGTCCGGCTGCGGAGCTGGGGGATAAACCATCTCCAACCCACGGCCAAAGCAGCCCGGGAAAGCACGGCTAACATGTCCGATTCAGGATCCGTTTTGACAGCACTCACCTGCCCGAAGGGGGCGAACAGGTCTGGATCATCATCGGACAATGAAAGCCCACCCTCCGATGCCGCGGTGGATGTCTGGTCTCCGGTGTCATCGAGCGTAAGGGCTACTATCTGTTAGACGGAACGCTTCCCCAGCCCGAAGCTTAGATGGAGCGCTTGGAGGAGTGAGAGGTCCGTGGGCCCGTGGGCGACGGATTATCTCTCGTTAAACCCTCAGATCTCCCCGAGTGCCCGCTGCAAAGCAGAGGACAACTAGGGTGGTTGGCCCTTTGCAAAGGCTAGCCGCGATCTTTACTGCGCAACATTCATAGCATTGCAATGATGACACGAACTGCCCACGAGCAGCGCATTAACATGCTGGAGCATGTAAAGCAGTGCCCGTGCCCATCATCCGAGGACAGAACCCACAGCATCCAGAAACGCACAGTCGGAGCGCCGTCCTGAAAAGGACGTGCTGCACGACTGTGTTGTTCTTTTAGGAAAACTTGCAACAATACGCACCGCACTGGAAGACCGGACCCAAAGGGACGTCAGGCAAGGGAGAAACCCAGCTTGACCGTCTGTCGCTGCGTGGACTCGCTCTGGACCGGAAGACACTCGTTCACTCGATGTCGCTGTAGCTCAGCAAGAGGAACCCTCATGAACTTGATCAGAAAAGTCTCTGAAGCGAAAAGGATGGCGTTTGCTGGTGCCAGGTGAGCTTATATGCTCAGTTAATTGGCAATGCAGCACACCTGCGCAAGCTTACGCTGCCAATTCATTGCTTTCATTGGCCCGTTCAATACTCTTTAAGACAAGCGGCTTCTGAACCGAATCCTCCCATACGTGGATTTTACCATCAAATCCACTTAAAGCACTGGAGTTCCCCAACCAAAGGGGAACCACCACTGCCCTCCCTGATCGTCGTTGACAGCACACACACACATCTTCAATCGACAGTAATGGCTATGTAATATTTACTTTAAGGTACATCAATAGAAGAAGCTGCATTAATAAAGTGGCTCAAAAAGGGATATAGATAAAGGATTTTATTAGGGTCTGTATAGTGAGTGTGTGTATATAGTAATGCCTTTTGTTCAGTTTGTTCATTTGTTTGTTTTATCATTTAACTCTTTAATCTCCATTAATTTTAGACATGGCATATACTGTATGCTGTATAATAAATGTATGTGAAAAACAACTGAAAAGTTATTTCTATATACGAGAAGTGTTTTTAAACTAAATATAAATTTTAATTTGGTTTGCACATGTACTTGCTCAATTATTTCAAGGAATAAATTGTGATATTTTAAGACAAATTAATTAAATTAATTAAAGTCACATTATTTTATTTACCAGAAACAAAAATATAACATTACACTGAATTCATTATTTTTTGGGGCGCCACTGTTAGTTGGGAGAAAAATACTAAATTTAATTAAGTTGACTACGCCAGAATGTAGCGGAGCGGTAAGTTGGGAGAAAAATACAAAATAAATTAAAGCTGACTATGCCACCCTGATCACAGGGAATTTAACACAGGTTCTTGGTGTAAGGAAAAGGCATGAGACATGAATACCAAAAATACAAAACTTTAATATCCTTAATTGTCCAATATAAAAAAATCTCTTTTAAAAAGCTTGGTTGCCAATAGTTGCCGCACAATCACATGAACAACAACAAGACAATGGGAGGAGTAGAGGCTTACCAGTGGCAGGTAAACTAGTTACGTAGCACCAAACTCTACAAAATTACTAATGGTCTTACTGCAAGTGCATCACACACACGCACACAAGCATACGTGAGCACACAACACACACACTGCACTCTCTGTCGTATCCCACCACTGCACGATGGACAACTAATGGCCTGCCTGGAAGCCTCAGCTCCTACAAAACAACGACAGTTAACAATTGTACAGTCACAATCTCACACAAAAGAACACAGAAATCCCAAAACTATCGATTCATAAAAATCTCCTTGCAAGAGGAGAAACTAAAATAATAATAATAATATTAACCGGTTCACTTCAAATCCAGCGAGTGACAGGTTGATTAATCGGCATAAGGCTCAAAGTACCATGAGAGCAAACACAAAGCGAGCATCTCTGTATGTATTTAAATGGCTCTCGCGATACACAGAAAGATCGGTCTGTGTAATGCCCCTTCTTGTCGAGCCAAGGCTGTGTATGTAACAATAAAATAATGTATGTATACGTAAAAGCAATTGTATTTGAAGTTTTTAAAAAAAGAAATACTAAATGATCATTATTGACTTATTCATTATGTATTTTCAGTGCTGGAAAATGAATAAATTATCAACATTTATTTAATGTGAGTATTTTTAACAATGACAAATTATTGAATTTTCAGTTTTTAATAAATTTAAGTTTTTTCAATGTTGGCGAACGGGTGAAATCGTCTGCATTGACTCATTGTAAGTATTTTAAATTTTAAGAAATGGGTAAATTATTAACATTTAATAAATGTCAGTATTTTCAACAATGGGAAGTGATTGCGTTATTAACATTGATTCATAATTTAATTAAATACTGAATATTCAACCTCAACCAAAAATATGATACTGATAGAATTTCAAGAGTGAATCAATTCCACTCTGCTATCTGGGACCTTGAAATTAGTTTAAAAAAAAAAAAAAAAACTTCCTCTGATCCTCTGCTGAAAGGTTGATTGACTGAATGTGTTTGAAATGAATGTTGTCTGAAATCAGCTGTAGTTTCTCTTCAGTAATTCTACTTGTTAACAGCAGGTGTTTATCATTAATGCTCAAGTAATACTTAATCACTTATGATGAATCAATAGTTATCACTTAATCACTAATCAGATATCTTATTACTTTAACTTAAATGGATTAAGTTCACTATACTCAAAAATGTTGTTAAACTGTTGGAGTCGCCTTAAACTATTGGGTTTTCATACAGTACTCAACTGGTTTTAGTTTTCTTAATTCATTGAATGTTACTGTGCTCAAATTGTTTTATGTTCTCAAATGGATTGAGTTTACATGGTTTATTAGAATTAGTTTTTGAATCTAAATGATTTGTTGCAATTGGTATTCTCAAATGGTTAGTGTTACCATTGCTTAATGGGTTTCACAGTAAATTAAATAATTTAATGTATTCTAATAATATTGTTGATTTTGATATTGTTGATTTGTAGAGTTTAATAAAAACTTATTCAGAATATTTTAATATGAATTAAGTGTTTTTAGATTAGTGTGTCCAGTACTGGAGTGATTGAACATAACTGCTTTCTGCTGAAATTTAGTCCACCTATAGACAGACAGAAAAAACAGCACATGAAGGTCCTAGGTTCATCTGTGCTCTCCTGAGAGAGAGTCTACATTTTACAGATCTGTCTATAGTTTGAAAGGGACAGACCTCTTTGAGACTCTCGGATATAAAGACACAAATGCTTTTTCTTTCTCTCTCTGTCACTTACCAAAGAAAGCCACCTAATCTCTCTGCCATCTCCCACACTGCGACAACATCACATGTTCAGAAGTTTGATTAACAGTGTGAGACTGAGCTGTCAGCAATATTGAGTGATTAAGACATAAATCTTCACGAGAGAGAGAGAGAGAGAGACAGCGGTTCACACATGCTGTGAAGATGATGCGAGGTAGGCATTTATGTTCTGTGTCTGACCTTATAAGTATGTAAATATTACTTTTTTTTTTTACAATTGTTTCTGTGGGTGTGTGACATGCTTGTTTACATCAAACAGAAATCATCATCATTATTTGTTAGCTATTTTTATTTTCATTTGTGCAACTTATAGTTTTCAAAACACTTGTTCATATTGCTTTTCTGTTTAATGCATCACACTTGTTTAGGACAAAATGAGTATATGCTCTTTAGGTGGCCTATTTATTTGCAAAAAGAATAGAGCGAAACTCCAAAAACTTTAGTTTTCTCTTGAATGCATGGGGCAAGGATTATAAAATCATATTATGATAACTTGTATTGAATGGATAAAATAATATGCAGTGTAGGTCTGATGGGCTATGATTTTGAAATCAAGTTTTTCATTTACAGTTTTAGTATAAAATGATGACATGTATTTTTGTGGCAATAATGCATGTGCCTTTTGTATTTTAATTTTGCTTAAATAATCTGTTTAGTATGAGAAAAGACTTTTGTAATTATAATTTTTTTTCAGAAAATGTATTCCATTTCAAATAATTTCTAATAATTTTCAAAATAATTTCTAATAGAACTTTGCCATGTAACTATTTTAATTCTTGTTATTTTACATGTTTTTTTTTTTTTTTTAGGAGTCAGGGAATGTGTGCAAAATGGTGCTGCATTGGTGTGTCATTATCTTATTCAGTTAGTCATAAGGATTTTCAAGCATACCAACATCAAGAATGCAATTTAGTTTTGATCATTAAGCCTTTATCTAAATTATCGTATAGAATAGTTTAAAATTGAATAATCATATTTCAAGGTGTAGAAACCATAGATTTTTTAACATTTTAGCTAGTTTTAATTAAGTTATAAAAAAACATAGTTGTACAAATATTTATTTTTTATAATTTTGCAAACATTATGTAAAACTTCAAATGAAAAAAAAATCCATAAATTATGTAAACAATGTTTTTTGTGCTAACATTTTTAAGCAATTATTAAAGAATATAAATATAATATATAAAACTTTAAGTGATCTTTATTCTATATGTCATAAATAATTTTAGGTAACATTAAGAAACATTTTAAGTAACAGGATTGTTTCTGTTATTATGCATGCAAAATGTAAAATGCATGATTAGCTAATGTTCAAAATAGGTGCAGTTTAAATAGTATAATTATCAATTATAATATTATAATAATATTGATTTTATTAATAATTTTGCAGTGTTTCAACAAAGATAAAATAGATAATTATTTAGAATTATAAAACTGTTTAAACTTAAATTGCATGTAGTCAAGAAGTTAGTAACGTGGACTGTAAAAGTTAATCTAGAGAAGTAAGCAATTAGTCAGACAAAAAGCCACATTATTATTAAATTAATAGATGTATCGGTATTTTGTTTATCTTGTGTTTTTGTGGCTACAATGATTCACAGCAGAAGGTATGATGAAGAGTCTTTTGATAAAACTTATAGTACATTGTATCTCTTTAAAAAAAAAGAACACTGCAAGAGCTCACTTTCAGAAACACTGAATACAACATACAGCCTTGTTCTTAATCAATGTGAATGTGACAAAGCCTTTAAAACACTTTCAATACAATATCTAAAATGATAAAGTCTCTGCATAGACCAAGTGGAGGACCCCAAAACTATCATACAATGTTCATTTGTGGCGCTTGTGGTTGTGGACATTGTTCAGAAATGACACATTCATTTTTGTACAGTCCCTTAAAACTAAATTTTCCGTAGCAGCCCACATTACATATGTTAAATATCTGCTCATCAAAATTGCTATCAGTTGCTGAAGTCAGCTGTATTGTATTTTATCACTTTGCATTATCAGATGCAGGTTTGCGCTAAAGCTCTTGTTGAAAATTTTTGTTTGGTCCGTTTTCAGATTTCTACCACAAAAAGTTTTATGACTTACCTCTTGTCATTGATTTTGCTGGATAAACAAATACAAATGTAAATGGTGACATGACTTGCCATCATAATGATATATGACGTGTCTTTATACAAACTAAAGTAAAAGTGTCATTATATTAAATCTATATCATATTAACAGTGAGTGATACAATTGTTACCATTTTTATTAATCTTTGTTTGTCTTTTAAGCTCAAGTAATTTAAATAATATAAACAAATACAACTTTGAATTTAATCATGTCATTATTAATGATGAAATTTAAATTTCATAATATAATTGCTATAGAAGTATTTTATTGTTAAGTCACAATACAATTTAGTACAACAATGTACTAAAGTTATCTAATGTTAAATAATTAATGTAAAGAAGTTGGATGTGTTTTGATGTTTAGATATATGTTATTATTATTATTATAATTATCCAATACAATAAATTAACTTATGACATTATTATTTTTGTAATACTAATGGTAAATGTTTATGTGACAAAGTTTGACAATACATTAATTTAAATATTATTCAAATTAGTGTTTTTACAAACAAAAACAGATCTTATGTAGTTTACTGCTGTTCTACTGCATTTTTTTCTGTGTTAGACATGAACAGCAGTGCATCCATCACAATAAGAAGGATTGGCCACACTGAAAATTATTTGCAGAAGAATGTTCTGGTGTTTCGATAAAAATTAGATGAACAGAACTCCAAAGAATTGTGCAAGTTATGCTATTTGAGCAAGTCATTGGACAACAGTAGTTAAATTCATAAAGGGCTAAAAATATTGATTTATTAGCCCCTATTATGGATTTTTTTTTTAATGCTTTTCACACTAATGTTTCAGATCATCAAACCCATTTAAATATTAGTCAAAGACAACATAAGTAAAAACATCATGCATTTTTGAAATGAAGGTTTTTATTATTTACGGAAAACAAAATACAATACTACGTAGCCCTTTGTGAAAAGTGTTTGGCCCAAAACCTAATAACTAGTTGAGCCACCCTTAGCATGCAATAAGCATGATATCTTCTAATGAGTCTGTTACAGCATTGTGGAGGAATTTTGGCTCTCCTGTCTTTGCAGAATTGTTGTAATTCAGCCACATTGAAAGGTTTTTTTGTTAGCATGAAATTATAAAATTTTTATGTCATGCCATTTTTTATGTCATACCACAGCATTTAAATTGGATTCAGATCAGGACTTTGACTAGGCCACTCCTAATACTTCATTTTGTTTTATTTATTTTTCTTTGTGTGTCTTCTGAGCTCATGCAATGTACAAAGTAAAAACAAATACAACTACAATACAATTGAAAATAAATAAATTTGACTTTTTAAGTAGTCATTTGTATTACTAATGTTATAGTGGTTATGTGACAGATACGATTTGAGAATACTTTTATTTAAATATTAATAAAGAGTATTAAATCAGATGTTTTGTAGACATTGTATTGTTGTTAATCTGTATATGACAAGAACAACAGTGCATCCGTCACACCAAAAAGCATCAATCAAACTGGAAACTATGAATAGAAAGATACTTAAGTGTGTTGATCAAAATCTGATGAGCAGAACTGCAAAGAAATTGGGTAAATTTTATTGAATACACCTTTTGCTATTATTGTTAATAATTTTTGGGCATTAAGAAAAAATGCATTTTGCAGTGTTGCACTAGTTTCTAACTGCACACACACACTTTCTGAATATACTGCCAATGAATCTTTCACCAGCTGCAAGGCTGTTCTGCGCTGTGGTCACCCGTTTGTGCATGCGCGCGTGTGTGTGTGTGTGTGTGTGTGTGTGTGTGTGTGTGTCAGCACACATACATGTTTACAGGTGTGCTTGCAGAGCTTGAATACTATATTTTCCATCACCTGCATTTTGGTGTTGTTTTTCTGCATTTTTATTAAGTAAAGCATTATAACAGAACAAACTAATATAAAGGTTTAAAAGTTAGAAATCAGAAATTGTATGTGATCATATCGACCAAACACTTATGGAGTTAAATGTTATGAAAGGAAATTTAAAACTCATATGTGTTCAGCACGCTGATATATTTACCACATTGTTGCATGTAGGGGTTTCACACCTTTTTTCACTCTTACTCTTATATGCATTTACGTCTTCAAAAGCTCTGAAATTATGACACATATTCAGGAACCAAAACCTTGAAAATCAAAGAGATATTATTTCCCCTTGAATTCACGAAGCTTTGGGTTTTTTGGTTTCTATAATCTTCTGAAAACTTGTTTTGACAATGACATGTGAGTATTAGAGAGAGAGAGAGAAAGACAAGCTAAACATATCTTGGGTTGAAAATAGGTGCTTATGGAAAACTAAATTTGGCTGTGAATGAACTGAAAGAGAAAGCAAGATGCATTAAGAAACGAGCTGTCAAATTTTGGAAACACAAAAAAGAAAAAAAGAGTGACCCCAACTCATCATTTTAAAGCTTTCAAAAACCAAGAAATGGACATTGAAAAAAGCCCCCTGATTCAGATGATCCTGAAGCTACAAACACAAACCAACACAACAAATATGACTAACAGCAGGCAGCATCAAGACACAGACATACTCATCCACAAACTATAGTCCGATTAAATGATAAATGCAGTAAAACTAGTACTGTGTCTGATTTATTGGAATGAAGTTGCAGGAAAACAAAATTAACTTAAATGTTATTTAGACCTAAATAGAGATTATACAACAGCAACATATCTGAGTGCAGTAAAGGACAGTAAAATAAGTACAGCAATGACCAAATACAGGCTGAGTGCTCGTAGTCTGACTGTAGAGACAGGCCGATACAGACAGAACTGGCAACCCAGACAGAACCGCATCTGCCCACACTGTGCCCAGGCAGAAGTGGGGACAGAGGAACACTTTCTCACTCGCTGTGCAAGCTATCAGCACATCAGAGAAACATTCAACCCCAAACTCCAGGGCATTTACCCTCAATTCACTGTGTTAGACAATAAAACACAGCTTCAGTAGACGAAAAACAAATTGTATCCTTCTAGCGGCACAATACATTAATGCCTGTCACAAAAAGAGAAAGGAGACCAA